TGGCTGGCGCCTTAGCTGGTTGAGCTATAGGCGCTGAGCCAGAAGCAAGAATTGTTAACAGCTATTTCTTAGTGCTATGGGCAGTGTCTGGTCCAAAGTAGCAGCGCAGTAAATATTTGGTGAAGAGGTCATGCCACACCTTCTTCCAGAGCTTGGTGTCTGTTTTGAAGGAATGGTTTTCTGTTCTTGCCCCCACCACTGAGTGATGAGTAAGTACATACATATACTACATCTTCATTAAATTGGTCCCTTGGTGACTTTGCAAAGGATCCCTACCCTGTAAGCCTGTCCATCACCCTTGGCAACCACTGGCATGAAGGGCAACTGCAGCTGTGGGCCCATAATAAAAAGATTCCAAAAGCGGGAGGCACCTATGGCTCAGTGGGTAGGGTGCCGGCCCCATATACCAAGGGTGGTGGTTTCAAACCTGGCCCCAGCCAAACTCCAACAAAAAAATAGCTGGGCGTTGTGACAGGTGCCTGTAGTTCCAGCTACTTGGGAAGCTGAGGCAGGAGAATTGCCTAAGCCCAGGAGTTGGAGGTTGCTGTGAGCTGTGTGACGCCACGGAACTCTACCCAGGGCAATAAAGTGAGACTCTGTCTCTACAAAAAAAAAAAAAAGATTCGAAAAGCAGGATTCTTAAATCTTTATTCAGCCAACTTTCTCAAGCCCCAGGCCCTGATGACTGCACCCCAACCCTTTTCCCCCACAAAGGCATTCAACTGAGGCCACAAAACATTACACACATTCGCACACCTCATGAAAAAATATCCACAGAAGAGACCCGGACTTTGACTGACCTGGATGGACCACTGCCCACATTCACACAGACCCTGGCCCAGGGACATCCTCCTTGCAGGAGGCCTTTAGGCAGGCACTGTTGCTGCACTGTGAGCCAGCACTGACTGATCTCAAGATATATGAGGAGTCAGAGGGGACTGTAAAGGGAAACAAGACTCTTCCTCAATGCCTGCCTTATTCTGAGCATCCATCCTTGGCTCTGATAGGGCTACCCTGAGAACCCACCCCAGAAAATATACTTTTCACCATAGATGAGGGCCCTCACTCCTGCAAACATAAAATGTTTCGTGTGTAGGGTCACCAAGATTCTCATATCTGAGACACAATGTAAAGAAACTTCTGTCTCTCCACCCCTACTGCAGGCCTGGAGCAGCTTCCCAGGGCAGCTCTGACCCACCATGATCCAGTACATGAAGGGCAGAAAGGTGCAGAGCCATGTCCTGCTACACCCATTGGTGGGAAGAGAGGGCCAGCCCCTTTGCTGTTCTCTGGGGTTGTTCCCCCAGCAGAGGGCCTCCACGCACACTCATTCCTTAGGCCCCATAGCCCCTGTCACACTCACACGGCACGTTTTTGGCGATGCCTACTCTCCTCCTTCCACCTAGCAGTACAAGAGGTCACCCCAAGGGACATGCATGCAGAGCCTCTTGGATCTTCTGGCGGCAATAGGAGTACTTCTGCAGGATCTGGCGGAGGTGCTCCTCCTCCTCCCGTTGCAGGATACGCAGGAAGTTGTGCAGTTCAGGCATGCTGAAGGCGTCCCACTGCAAAGAAGGGATGGGGGAGAATACACAGGCTGCTGTAAAAATGGCCAAGCCAACAGACCATTCTCAGACCAGAAAAGACCAGCATGTCACGATCACACATACTAGCATTGAACTTTCTTCTGTCAGACTCTTGCCTGAGTAGTTTTTGCTAGCAGGCCCTACAAAATAGTCACCTTACCGAGACAACCAAATTGGATGTTCCCTAACTACCTATGGACAGCTAATGCTTGTGTAACAAATCTAATCCCATTCCACAAGCTCAATACTTTCTAGGTACTTATTAGTGCTTAACAGAGGACCTCCATATCATCATGGATCCACCTATGGCTTTGATTTGGTCTGGGCTCACCAAGCCATCAATTTCCAGAGGATTGCCAGTTGTAGTGACTCATGCCTGTAATCCTAGCACTCTGGAGGCTAAGGTGGGAGGGTTGCTTGAGCTCAGGAGTTTGAGCGTAGACTGAGCAAGAGTGAGACCCTGTCTCTACTAAAGATAGAAAAACTAGCCAGGTGTTGTGGCAGGTGCTTATAGTCCCAGGTAGTTGGAAGGCTGAGGTAGTAGAATCACTTCTACCCAGAAATTTGAGATTGCTGTGAGCTAGGCTAATGCCACAGCACTCTAGCCTAGCAACAGAGTGAGACTCCATCTTTTTTTGAGACAGAGTCTCATTATGTTGCCCTCAGTAGAGTGTACCTCAAACTCTTGGACTTAAGTGATTCTCTTGCTTCAGCCTGCCAAGTAACTGGGACTACAGGCACCCTCCACAATGCCCGGCTATTTTTTGTTGCAGTTGTCGTTGTTTAGCTGGTCCAGGCTGGGCACGAACCCATGTATGGGCTGGTGCTGTAACCATTGTGCTATGGGTGCTGAGCCAATACTACATCTTTAAAAAAAAAAAAAAAAGGCCGGGTACCATGGCTCATACCTGTAATCCTAGAAATCTGGGAGGTCAAGGCAGGTGGATTGCCTGAGCTCCTAAGTTCGAGACCAGCCTGAGCTAGAGCAAGACCCTATCTTTAAAAATAGCCCAGTGCTATGGCAGGCAGCTGTAATCCCAGCTACTTGGGAGGCTGAGGCAAGAGAACCGCTTGAGCCCAAGAGTTAGAGGTTGCTGAGAGCCATGACACCACAGAACTCTACCAAGGGTGATATATTGCCAAAGGATTTTCCACAGTAGAGAAGAGGAAAGCGCCAAGACTTCCTGGCTTAAAGGGACCCCAGAATTTGGCATGAGTGGCCTGGAAGCCTTCACTTTAGTTACAAAGCCTACATATTTCTGGAACATCTTTTTTTTTTTTTTTTTTGAGACAGAGCCTCAAGTTGTCCCCCTGGGTAGAGTGCCGTGGCATTACAGCTCACAGCAACCTCCAACTTCTGGGCTCAAGCGAGTCTCCTGCCTCCGCCTCCCAAGTAGCTGGGACCACAGGCGCCTGCCACAACGCCCGGCTATTTTTTGGTTGCAGCCGTCATTGTTGTTTGGCGGGTCCAGGCTGGGGATTCGAACCCGCCACCTTAGGTGTACGTGGCTGGCGCCTTAGCCGGTTGAGCTATAGGCACCGAGCCTATTTCTGGAACATCTTATAGGGCTTACCCTCCACCCCAATTCCTCCTTTAAGCCTTCAGGTAGCTACAGCCTATCAGTCCTTTCCAGTGACAACCATGAAATTAGGGAGGATGGCATACTCACATTTACCTCCCCAGAGTCATTTTCCTTCAGGACAAAGCTCAGGGCCTTCTCACTGGGTCCTGCAAGGAGCCGTAGCCGCAGGGGCTGCTCATCATCTGACAGCTTACGCAAGTACACTAAAGGCCGGATGGGGGGTGGTGTATGATCAGAGACAGGTCCTATCACCTCAGCCCCTGCATGCCCAAGAACATGCATATATACCCGCACACAGGGGTGGGGTTGGAAGCCCACCTTGGCCCTGACGCTCAGCCCGCTCAAAGAGGGCAAACTTGCGGGGGTCATCTACCACCATGAACTTTCGAAGCAGAGCCTCGATGACCTCACGCGCCCGTGTTCGTGACAGCACGTGCAGGTGCTTGACAGCATCCTTGGGCAGATAAAAGGAGGTACGGCGCTTCACAGTTGTGCCCCGCCCTGGGCCCCGCCGAGGATCCTGCAAGGAGGGTGGCTTCTTATTGGAGGGCACTGAGACAGGGCGTACTAGCTTTAGCTGAACCTTGATGAAGCCTGTGTAGGAGCCATCCTTGTTCTAAGGAGAAAGAAAAACCAAACCATGACAGTAAGTTCCAGGTGAAAAGAAACAGACTAGGGTACCGCTGGTTCACTTGGGGATAGGCTGGGTATGCATAAATTGCCGCTAGGTCCCACCCAAGAATACCTTACCCATTACCCTCTGGGCATCAGGAACACAGCTGGGATCCTGCCCCTCCCCACACTCCTTTCCCAAGCAGTCAGCTCACCAGGCTCATGAAGAGGTTGCTGTTGATTTGGCCATTGTACTCCTTGATCTTTTGCTCAGTCTCAGCCTGGGAAAGGTCAGGTATCTCCCACTCTACAGGTTCATCCTGAAAGATGAGCCATCATGGACACAGAGCCCTTGAAGAAGCCAGGGCTTCTCTGAACCATGGCCCCTGAGGCAGCTCTTATAAAACAACTGTCTGTGGCCCTTTGTCACTGATGTACATAGCTGTCCAGAAGGAACCCATCCTGAACCATCACTGCTCCTGGTTTTGCATGCTTTGGAATCATTTGACAGCTCTCTGCTGCTTGGCTAGGGCCAGCTCAAAGTCTTGGTGTTTTGCTCTTATCAGCTGTGGAAAATCCTCTGGATGTAGCCCTAAGTATAGCAGACCAGGGGCAACTGAAGACACATGGCCATAGGCCAGGAAAAGATGATGGACTCTGAGGAGGGACTCTTTATTTAAATAAAAGCATATCTCAACCACACAGCCTAAATCCCAGAACCCTAAATGTGGTTTTATTACATTTGTCCTAGAGAAAGCAGCCTATTTTTCCTGTCTCAGCATAGGGAATGTTTTCCAACCTTTTTTGATGTCACAGCTTGAACCTATAGTTAAATTTCCATGGTACTTAAATTATGCTGATCAAAAAAAAAAAAGAGGCTTGGTGCCTATAGCTCAGTGGCTAGGGTACCAGCCACATTCACCAGAGCTGGTGGGTTTGAATCCAGCCCAGGTCAACTATAACCAACAAATAGCTGGGTGTTGTGGCAGGTGCCTGTAGTCCCAGCTACTTGGGAGGCTGAGGAAAGAGAATTGCTTAAGCCCCAGAGTTGGAGGTTGCTGTGACACCATAGCACGCTACTGAGGTTGACATAGTGAGACTCTGTCTCCAAAAAAGAATAAAAACAAGGATATACTTCACTGTGCTTTGAACTTCCTCCAAAAATAATTTAATAACTTTTTTTTTTTTTTTTTGGGAGACAGAGTCTCATTATGTTACCCTTAGTAGTTGCTGTAGCATCACAGCTCACAGCAGCCTCAAATTCTTGGGCTCTGTCTCAATTTAAAAAAAAAAAAATCTTTATCTAAGATTCACAAAAGGCAGATTGAGGCCAGGCTCCAATCTGCTAGAGGTTCACAGACAGTTTTCTTTTCTTTTCTTTTTTTTTTGAAACAGAGCCTCAAGCTATTCCCCTGGGTAGAGTGCTGTGGTATCACAGCTCACAGCAACCTCCGGACTCCTAGGCTCAAGCGAGTCTCCTGCCTCGGCCTCCCAAGTAGCTGGGACCACAGGCACCCACAACAACGCCCAGCTATTTTTTTTTTTTTTTTTTTATTGTTGTTTTGGCGGGCCCAGGCTGGATTCGAACCCGCCACCTTAGGTGTATGTGGCTGGCGCCTTAGCCAGGGGTTCCAAGGTTTGATGGATTTCCTTCTTCTTGCCTTCACCTTCACCTCTCTGGCTACTCCTTTTGTCTCTCCTATTCTGCTTTCACTTCTCTCCT